TAAGCAGAAACTTTATTAGGGCTATTTCTTTTGGTGCTTAGGATTTATGGCCGTAAGGAATGAGAGGTTTAAGACAATTGTATATAAGAGGACTTAAGCTGGTTGGATAAGGTGGAGAAGTGTTGATTCTATATTTAAAGGATATTTTTGACATTTAGAAGAAAATTCTTTAAGGTCTCTATCTGGCAGTATTTCCTAGCAGTTGTAGGAGATAATATATTTGAGAACGAAATTGATCTAGATTTGAATGTGTTAAGAGTTAGTTGTAAATCATTTGCCTTTGCCACCAGTAATTTTTGGTGGGATTTTAGGGTAATTTGTTCTCATAGGCCAGTTGATATCAGAATGACAGACGTAAAAGTATATTGATGTTATGCTTCTTTCTTTTTTAGCTCTCTTTTCTAATATTTGTCTTATTGCAAGTTGTCCTATTTTCAATTCTTGGATTTAATGGCAGCTCTGGTTTGTTCGATACCAGCGGAAGTATGAAAACTATTATGTATGGTGCCAAGCCTGATTTGGGGCAAGAAATTTCTTTGTTGTGTGGAAAGCTAATTCCACTCTTAGAACGACTTGAGTTACTAAGTGAGGTATGATGCTTCCCTGATCATTGTTTACATCTTGGCAATGTGATCATTCCAACTCTAGTATGATGACTAGCATGCACAATTGTCCTTCTGAGAGCTCAAGCTCTGTTATCAGAAAATATCCTCTTGTTATGTGAGATTAGAGTATTAGACATAGTACAATGTGTTTTTAGTTTATCTACTCTAGTGGTGGTTGAAATTCTGAAATAGTAGCAGCACAGATAAATGGAAGATCACATTTACCAAGTTTGCTACAAGTAGTTATATAATATAGATTTACTCCCACATTCAGCCCTTTTGCAGAGTAGGTTTGTTGATTTAGCTGTTTGGAATATTACGGTGATATTGGATTCTCTTAATTTTGGGTTTGGTTAAAAATATGAACAAACTCACAATCAATCTGAATTTAGGTCTTGGAAGCCAGGAGCAAATTGACAATCAACCCTTAGGAAGCTTTTAGCCAAAATTGACACTTGCCTTTAGATTCTCTAAGGCAAGGTTGTCTTTGTTTCATTGCCATCGGCTTCGAGTCTGCCCCGGGTTTTCTTTGTTGGAACATAATAATAATAATAATATTTTCATGGTTGTTTCTTGTCTTCTCAGGATAAAGTAGGCCACAACCTTAAGGTCTTCCGCAGATTAGTGACTTCGCTTAAAGAAATGGCGATCCAAAAATTTGCTTCGTAATGTTGGTTGAAGGAGTGGGAATATTTTATATTGGTATTTAGATTATTTTCAAAGTAATGTGTTTTGGTTTGTTAAATTTTATTATTGTCAGTCATGTCTGTAAATCAATAATATATCCAATTCCAATGAATTTAATTATTCATAGATTTTTTTTTTCCGATTTTTCCCATCAATTAAACTAACGAAGTTAATTGGTAGTATAAGATAAATTTTCTTTAAATTAATGAAGTCAGTTGCTATTGCTGATGGATTACATCAAACCATCGTGTTAAAAAAAATTGGCTTTCCGAGTTCCTTCAAATGCATAAAACTGGTTTCAATGATCAGTCCTGAAAACAGGGAGCACGTTGAACGACTCCAATAGTTACAACGTGAGCGTTAATGCAACTAGAACTAACCTTCTTCCCGGTCATGGCAGACTGAAGCCATATGGATTCCAATAACAGTTCCGTGCATGAAACTGACTGGCTGCAGTTTAGAGTAATAGCCGCATCGGTGCTTGATGTTCCCTTTCTCTAAATCACGTTCCTTATTCGAACTCCCGTTTGCTACACCTAACAAGGAATACAAACGTTTTCTTGGTTAGTTTTAATTTTTTAATTGTTCAACAAAAGATAAGCTAAAAACCAAGGGCTCGTTCTAATTACCAATTCCTTGCAAGCACCCCTAACATTGCAGAATTTTGATCATGATTAGCGGGTTTTTCACTGAGTTGAAGAACAGATTCTCAAATGTGACTCCTCGAACATAACCTCTGCCAACCTTATTGAGCAAGACCAAAAAAAAAAAAAAGGTACAAAAATGAGAAAAAGGAGGAGCAACATTTGCAGTTGTATACGAATGTTCAGCAAAATTTACCTGCCAAGTCTTGATTCGAGCTTCATTGTGGTTCCCTTGAAAGCAACTCTGCTTACACGAATGTTCTGCACTTGTACAAAATTTCCTGCCCTTCCTAAGCTTCCAATGCTGTTTTTGAGCAAAGAAAAAGAGACAAGCATATCAGTAGTCACAAGTGCATCAAAACAATATTGCCTGCTTGAATTCCCGTGACCAAAGGACAGGCTGAAAAGACGGATCAGAAACTTCTGATAATTTTGCCGAAGGAGATATAAAAACAAGCTACAGCCAGTAGATGGGTAGGCACGTGGCTTGAAAGTTGAAACCCAGTCCAAACACTCATATCCCAAGAGGAAAAACAAGAGAGCTTTGCTTAACATTCAAATAAAAGAGGCCAAACAAGAGAGCTTGGTGGCTAGATGCACAAATCAACTCTCTGAGTTCCTGGGTTCAAGGGCTATCAAGAAAAAAAAAAAAAAACATTGATGAAAGACTTTGTTGTTTCTTTCAAGTAATTACAGGGTGAATTTGGAGGAACTAGTCAATCCATTTTTTAAAAATAAGAATGCCTTAACTACCATAGATGAACAGAGAAACAGATGTTTTCCAGGTCTTTCTAGTAGTGGAAGAAAAAAAGGGAAAAATAAATAAGCCTCACCTTATTCCATGACCAGGTCCACACTTTACATAAGGGATGTCAATATTAGTAGTGTGATCTCCAATTGAAACACAATCATCACCTGTTTCATTCACAAGTTCAGGAGAGTGATCCAACTTTATCTGACATAACTTACATCAAAGAACTGAGAATGAAAAAAGAAAAAAAGATCAAATAAAAATGGCATGAAAAAAATTGTACCAGTGCCAATTATACTGTTTCTAATAACTTTATTGCTAGCTGAACTGATATGAATACCATCTGTATTGGGGCTGGTTTCAGGAGCTGTTATCACCACATCCTTCACGATAAAATCGTCACTCTCTCTGACTAGCGCATGCGTTTGAGAGCTGTTTATTAGTCGAACCTGACTGAGACTGCTGATTTTGCAGGATTGGAAAGTCACAGCCTGCAGTTCAGGCTCAGGAGACGCATTAAAACAAGAATTTCAGGAACAAAACCCCTTCCTTCAATAGCATTGAGCAGCCCATGGAAATTGAAAAATACTTACTGTTGGTGCCAATGAAGTGCATCCTTCCTGGAGAAGTAGAAGGTTAAAAAAATAAAATAATAATAATAATAATGCAAGAAAATTGAATTAGAAAGCTTTTTCAGGAGCCCTGACATTTGAAGTAGTTGCTTAGAGTACCAGGACCAGATGATCCCCGCATGATTGGTTCCACCAACCACAGCGGCGACCACTAATTTCGCCGGTCCCTTTCACTTTGAGCCCAGAAACTCCGTAAAACGTTATCCATTTGCCCTGGTCGAGTCCCTCCCATGTTCTAGGTGAAATCGGTGATACTATTCTCCCCAGTATCTGTTAAAAACCGAAAAACCAACCATGATAATAAACACGTTGCCTTGTGCCAGGAAAAAATGGAAAAACATTGCTCGCATACTAGGCCCTGAGCAAGATTATTATACTATAAAAGAATGAAGATATTCTTCCAGGGAACTGGTGATTATTTTTCCCACATACTAGAAGCTTCATCTCTTTAGCCTTGCATGGCCCGCTAAATGTGACTGAATGCAACAAAAACGTTTGGTTTTCTGGAACAATCAATGTAATATTTTCCGTTTCTCTGCTACATAAGAAATTCCAGGTCTTCAAAAATGCCTGAAAAATAAAAATTGTTGGGATCCCACTTGAAGCAAAAGGAAAGGGAAAAAATTTTGAATTAGAATGAACTGAATTTACCTCAGAACTATCTGCCGTGCCATCGCCAACAGCACCAAAATCTAAGACATCAACAACCTCTGATTTTATGCCGACGGCATTGCAAACAATATAAGAACAAAACAAGCACAGTACCAGAATAATGAAGGCAAAAAAAGTAGCCTGCAAAGAAGGAAAAATATCAGTGCATTTTACTGCAGTACCAAACAAATATTGCTTCATAAATAAATGAACGTAAACTATACTTCCTTATGGTTATGGCGTTATGCTTTTAGAGAGCTGTTATTCTCTGAACTTTTAAATTAAGTTATTAAAGATGAAAACCAAAGACTCACCATGGCATTAAATGGCCCTGTAATGATCTAAGCACACTGTAAACTGCAGTTTATTTACATGACGAGAAGCAGAGAATTTAAAAAACTTGACTCCAGGTTCATTCAAGGGAAGTCTTGAAGACAGGAGACTTAGCTCGCCCTTTATTTGCTGGTAAAGGTAAGCAAATAAGTACTTTTGTTTGCTCCTTAATTTGAGTAATAAATCATGAAAGAAATAAAAAATTTCAGCATCAAATCAAGGGGCAATAGAATGTTTAAATGTAATGCACAGAGCCAAGTAACGTTCCAACTCTCTCTTTTCTTCCCATTCTTTTAAGCAAAAACGTTCAACTCTTTGCCTTCCAGTACATGAATGCCCGTGGACATTGGTGCTGCAGTCACCATGTCTTGACATTCTTGGCCAGGATCATTTTTTTATTGGCCAAATTGGCCAGGATCAATTCGCACTATTTTCCGTATCATCCATTGAATGGTCGGCCAAAAAATTACTCCCAAATGCATAAGAATTATTAATTGATGATTCCTCATTCAAAAAGAAAAGTGACAGATGGTAATAAAGAAATAAGAGAAGATGATCATATAAACAAACAGACGATCTTGTTTAGATAAATAGCACTAGTAAGTTTTTTTGAGCCTCGTTTATTTAAAATTTTTATTCAACTGTGATTTGATTGCTTGATTCCATGTACTTAATTACTTGTTTTCATTTCTTCTACACGTGGCAAGTCATAATTGGTAACAACCAAAACACTCCGTCCCAACTCTCTACAACTCCACAGTCCACACTCAAAACTCAAAAGCTCACAGTAATCTTCACCAGAGATCCAATCTCTCAGAGTCCACATTTCACCGGAAAAAACATTTCTTAAAAAATCCTCATTTTCCATGGCAAATGCATGGAAAAGAGACAACGGCAAAACCCAAAAGCTCCTCTCACCCAAAACCCTCCTTTCCCTCCTTCTCCTCTCCCTCTTCCTCTACCTCTCCTTCTCTTTTCTTTCCCCAAAAAACCCCACCTTTATTCCCACTACTCCCTCTTATAAGACCCAAAAAACTGCTCAAAATTTCCCAATCCCTCCTTTTAATTGCCACAATTCCCCACAATCCCATCCCATTATTGCAAACACTGTGGAAAATCTCAAATACCCCTTCATTTACTCCCTAGCTGACTTGGGTTCCTTCCCAGACAAGCCTCACAAGAACATTGTGAGACTTCTTAAAGGTAAGCCCTTTCGTCGACCTGACATCTCGGCCACCATTCAGGATATCCTGGAAGGGAAAAACAGAGATGGGTTTGTCGTGGATGTTGGTGCCAATGTCGGGATGGCGAGTTTCGCGGCGGCGGTTATGGGGTTCAAGGTATTGGCTTTTGAGCCGGTTTTGGAGAATTTGCAAAGAATATGTGATGGGGTTTGGTTTAATAGGATTGAGGAATTGATTACTATTTTTGAAGCCGCCGCATCTGATCGGAATGGAAATATTACTTTCCATAAGGTTTGACTGCTTTAACTTATGGTTTTTTTGGCTGATTTTGATTTGTTATGATCTTATTAGTTTTAACATCTAGTTGTGAAGTTAGTGAGCTTACCATTTAGTGTTAGTTTTATTTGTTAAATTTGTGTTTGTTAACTAAATGATGGTTTATCTTAATTGGAAGTATAGAGGCTTAGCATGTAAGTCAGTAAGTGGCTTACAAGGTGTTAAAATGGGAATATGGTAGCACTGTTGGATTTTTCTACCTTTACTTTGCACATGCATCCATTGGCAGTTGAGTGGCTTTATCAAAGGTTCATACTTGTGGAAGCATTTTCATTTGCTACTATTTTTTAGTTCTTAAGGCTCTGTGAAAAGGAGGCAGCTGCATGGTGTTTTTTGCGATATTTGGGATGGAGAACAGTTCCATTTTGGTTCCTTAGTAATGCGTTCATCAGAATCCCTTTTACAATAGCCCTCCCCTCTGTAGGCTAGGTGCATCAGTTGCATCAATGGATCCACCCTAACCAATAAAACTTGCCTTAATTTTTATATTTAGAGTCGATGTTAAACTTAATGTCGTTAACTAGATCCAATAAGAGCCCTAGGAACTTTATGCATGATAAGAATGCCTGCTAGGACCAGTTAAACTCTCTTTGGTTGGCCATCAATGACCAATGTTCATGAATTCAATTTAGAATGGATTTTTGGGAAGCTTAAACCTGAATTTTTCTTGGAACTTTATTGTGATCTCACTTTCAGTTCTGTAGACGTTATTGTGATCTCTGCTTGAAATTAAACCTATGTGATAATGTGATAATGATTTTGCTAGTCCACTTTACTAGAGATCTTGGTAAATGCCGCTTGTAAGAGTGGGAGCCGGTAACTTTTGTGAATTACATGATAAGCTATGGGGAGTGTGGGCTGAGAGAGAATTATAACTTTGCTTTATTGATTATTTATAGTCTTATCATTTTTGGCATTCAGATTTGGTATCTTATGGTTTTTTCCCATTTAATTCTTAGTAGTTTATGTTGTTGTATGATGTACAATAGTTCTCATTAAGAAAAGGCTGCTGTTTTTGTTTATACATTCTTATATATTCCCTGCCATCTGTTGCTGTATTATTTCTTTTTGTGCTTCTCATGTCAAATCCTTCCGTGTTTTCACCAGTTGGTTGGCCGGCTTGACAACAGTGCTGTTTCTGCTGTTGGTGCGAAGTTGGCATTCAAGTCCAATGAAGAAGTAGCAGTTCAAGTGAGGTCCATCTCTCTTGATGACCTAATCCCAGAGTTGGAGCCAGTGCTTCTGCTTAAAATAGATGTTCAGGGATGGGAATACCATGTACTGAAGGGAGCCAAAAAGTTATTATCCAGGAAAAAAGGTGAAGCCCCTTATCTGATCTACGAGGAAGATGAACGACTGTTGCAAGCAAGTAACAGTACTGCCAAAGAGATACGGAACTTTCTAAGTAGTCTGGGTTATAGTAATTGCACCCAGCGTGGTACAGATGCTCATTGCACCAAGAATTAATGCAAATACCACGAATTTGCTATGGATGAGAACCCAACTGCAAATCTGTTTATTTGCATGCCGTTTCTCTCAGCCCTTAGGCAGTGCAATGCAGTTCATCCCAGTAGAAATTTCTTCATTTTGAAGTTAAACTGAAGCTGATAAATTGCTCTAACAATAGCCCTCTGCGCTTCTCTTTGTTTCATAATTGAATGGTTAATGGCAGCTTTTTAATGCGCAGAGTGGTAAATGGTCTGGTTGGATGAAACCGTTGTTGAGTTCTTATCTCATGCTGGTAGATTTTTACTGATTATTGTCAGATGTGTGTCGGTGGCTTTTAAATGTATAATTCTTCTTTTCCCCTTTTTTTTAATTTCCGTTTACAAATCTATTTGTTTGATTAAAATTTTAGTGAACAAATTGAAGCAAAAGTTCAAAAAATTGAGTTAGCAAAAGACTATTTTACTTGATCTTCCTGAAGCTTTAAGATACAAGTTGGCTCACAGCCTCCTACTAAAACTATTCACATTGATCAGAATTCAGAAGAATATACTACAATTGGCCAAATATAGTCAGGTGAAAAATCCCAATGCTATAACATATACACCCTTGAGTATTACATCTTTTATAGTTGAATGTCTGCAACTCAATCATACATGATAGAGTAAAATATCTGCTTGATGAAGCTTCAAATTAATGATGGGCGCCGCGACAACTCTTAACCTGTTTAGCGAGAGTTGGGAGAATCTCATATCTGATGCTTATAAAGTTTGATCATGAAAATCTGTCACCATTGAAGTCCAAGTCTTCACTCTTCTACCACTAGGTTTTAAAGGATCAGCTCTTTCTACCATAACGTCGTAGAGTTGCTTTCTGTTCTATTTGTAACAAAATAAAATAAAATAATAAATCATAAATCAGGGATTTCACTAACACACCTGAAGTTTAATGAACCAAGTAGAATAAACAGCTATAATATCCAATTAACTGAAAGGTCTCCTTTATCTTCCAGGCTCATGTCAAAACCAAATACACTAATCCAGTAAAGCTGGTTAAGGCTTGGCCAGCAAAGTTCCCAATTCACAAATGTTGAGTATCTGTGGAAAAATGGCTAGGTCGGCCACTTACTCTTTTGAAATTTGGATACAAGTTCAAAAGAATACTTACTTCCAACGGTTTTTTCCACCCACAAAGACATTTTCACCTGAATCCTCAAGCTGGTCTCCTACTTTCACCTCCTAAAACCACAAATGTCACATATGTATAAGTGAAGAATTCTAGTGCCAAATCTAAAAAAATGAAGAAAGTATTTAATACTCCCAAAATTAATGTTCTATAATGCTCTTGAACTTTATGATGTTTTGGCACTGATAGTTGTAAGCCAAGAAAGAATCCGGAAGCATATCTAAGGACAGTAATTAGATATCTTTTTAGCAACATAAATTGAATAAGTTGTCACTGTATTATGTTTGCAAACACCGTGTTTTAAGAAATTGTAAAGTTGAGAAAATTGGACTGACCAGTGCCTCGTCATCAAAGACAAATCTCACTCTCGTAGTCTGGAAGAACAAAATTGTCAGCTGATTTCAGATAAAAAAATTGATATGTAAAACAAACCATGATGGAAATAGAAACTAAAATAACGAAAATCTAGAAAAAGGAGGAGGAGATTTGTCTTGAAGATCTCATCAGAAATTCAGAATGGTATCTTATAAACTGCTTTGATTTTAATAAAGGGAAGAAAGCTCTTCAGAAGGTGGCAATTTGGATTCTTCTAATGGACATCATCTACTTTTAGTTAATCGTAGCTGGAACAATAGGAGAACGCCAAGTAGACCAACAGGTGCAGCTGGTAATAGGTTATCTGTATAAGCCAATCCACCAGCCAGACTTGTTTCAATTAACAATTTTAAAAAACATATATATTATGAATGCAGTCTTGTTTTGAAAGAAGGGAAGAGAATTGATTGATAACAGCAGACAATGCAGCCAATTCAATTTTATAAAGATCAAAATCAATCAAAAGATTGTTATATGGCTAGTCAATAATAAGATTAACACACTAAATACGCATGTTCCAAGCAAACACAGACATAGCAATAAGAGATTGCTCATAGACCTGTGCCAAACCCATATCTAAGCTGATGCAACTAGAAATGCAACCTTGCTCACAGACCAGAATGCAGTTTGGATCTATATATATTTAGAAAGGGCCCAGCCTTCAGACCATCAACAACAACAGGAAGACACAAACAACTAATTGTTGCAGAACTATTATGGTCCTAGTTATGATAGTATATTCATCTCCTGACAAAATAGGCAAACTTGCTTAAGCAAGTTAAGTTCATGTGAACAACAATCAAGACCACCCAAAAGCAAGTTCTTCATCACTCAGAAGGGTCAAGATATGTAACGCCCCCAATCTCACATCATGAGGATGTGTGGATAAGGAATGATATATATATAGAGATTTAATCTTAAACTTGTAAGACGTCTTTTGTAGGACAAAATCGTGAGACCTTCGGGTCAAAGCGGACAATACCTCGCAGGTTGGGTGCGGGTCTCTACAAATGGTATAAGAGCGGTCACCAGTCCGCAATCGTGGGAGTCACTAAGTATTACACGATGGTCTGGTGTGATCTTGGTCCTGTGGATGGACTCGGCTTGACAGGGACGTCAAGCATTAAAGGTGAGGGGATTGTAACGCCCTCAATCCCACATCAGGAGAATGTGTGGATAAGGAATGATATATATGTATTAGACTTGATCTCAAACTTGTGAGGCACCTTTTGTAAGACAAAATCGTGAGGTCAGAGGACCAGAGCGGACAATACCTCACAAGGGTGTGAACCGTGGCGATGAGGTTGATTCGGGACGCCGGAAGGGTGAATGCTTGGGTCTCGGAGCCGCGCGGGTTCGGAGCTTAAGTCTTAACTCGTGACAAGTGGACCCGCACCCAACCTGCGAGGTATTGTCCGCTCTAACCCGAAGGTCTCACGGTTTTGTCCTACAAAAGACACCTCACAAGTTTAGGATTAAGTCTCTACATATATATCATTCCTTATCCACACATCCTCTTGATGTGGGATTGGGGGCGTTACAATCTCCCCACCTTTAATGCTTGATATCCCTGTCAAGCCGAGTCCATCCACAAGACCAAGATCACACCAGACCATCGTGTAACACTTAGTGACTCCCACGGCTCCACCGTGTAGCACTTAGTGACTCCCACGACTGCGGATTGGTGACCGCTTTGATACCATTTGTAGAGACCCGCACTCAACCTGCGAGGTATTGTCCGCTTTGATCCGAAGGTCTCACGGTTTTGTCTTACAAAAAACGCCTCACAAGTTTAGGATTAAATCTTTACATATATATCATTCCTTATCCACACACCCTCCTGATGTGAGATTGGAGGCGTTACAAGATACACGAAAAAAAAAAAAAAAAAAAGATGTATCTAAGTATGGAAAATGCAGATTACCCACCCGGTAGGACAATTGATATGCGATAATCTGGGGTCAGGAATCACAGTTTCTTTCTTCTGGACCTTCCTTCGAAGCTGCCAAGCATCAAAGTAGCCATCTCAAACCATGAGTTACAACTAATGAAACTGGAATCATAACCAAAAATCAGCTCAATCACAATCATACTTCCTGCCACCAACCTGGGCATAAATTAAAGTCTTTTACCTTCATCTACCAACAAATTTAACAATTCAAACATTCAACTAGGAAAAAAATGTTAAATAATGAGCAACAAATATCAAAGTTTGTTCAAGTGAAGGGATACAAACCACTGACGCAACAATAATTCTGCCTCCACGAGGACTATTGAATTCTCTTCCTAGAAAACTTTGCTTATATCCTACTTTGCCATGGAATGAACTCCTTAATTGTCCACTTCATTTCCTGTTTGAAATAAGCATGTAATTAATTCTTTTAAATCTTACTTCTCCTCAATGAAAAGATAAAAATATACTTCACAGATAACTACCCACATCCACAAGTTTTCTTTTACAGAGTTCTCACAAATTTCTTTATGTATAAAATTCTGAATTTTATAGTAAAAGGAAAAAAATGTTAAAGAAGAGTCAGAAAGTGCTTACTTTGGGAAGGCAGAAACGGAGCAGCAGTCAACAGGAAGCCACTAGCCATTTTCTGCTCATTGTTTTTGCCGAAGGCAAATTTTTGTCTTTTGACAAAAAGAAAAGAACAAATAAAAAAATAAAAAAAAAAAAAACCTGCTACTTCCTGCTTTGTTTGAAGAATAAATTGACCTCATTACCCCTGTTTCCAGCGAGCAAGTAGCAATTGAATCCTTAAAAGCTATGCCTAGGGCATTTGGGTATTTTCACTCAGACTGAATGTCTTTTCTTACCTTTAGCCTTATCGGGTATAACAACTGAAGGACACTTTTTTCTCGCTTTCTTCTTCGAAGTTCAAAGCTTTATAACAAAAAGCACTTCAATAAAGTGAAAGGAAACCCTCTTGAGAATAAAAAAGAATGGCAAGCTCTCTATGTTTCACTTCTGTTTGCTCCTTCAACACTCCCAATAAACCAGGTACTCCAAAAGTGAATGTTTTGCTGATATTGGTTTAATCTTAGGAGATCAAAGTTTGACTATATTGTGTTCTTCATTGGTTTTAGAGATAATTATTGATAATTCCTTTCCAAGGAAGGTTCTTCGGGTAAATGAAGTGTTTCAGAGCTCCAGGAGTGCCAGAATTCAATCTTTAAAGACTAAGGTGAGAGGTTTTTTTTTTGTTTGTTACCATCCCATTTAATAAACGGTCTTAGTTGTGGATTTTGTTAGTAAAGTTGGGTAACTTGAAGTGTGGTAGTTGAATAATTCTTGCCAATGGGCTCATACCCATTTGTAAATTTGCAAGGGAACTGTGAAGGGATGATTTAGCTGCTAATGGCCTGTAAGTTGGATTTTTGGGTTGTATTTAATATTTATTTTGTGGGTGAACATCTAGTAAAAGCAAGGAAATAGCGGTCAGGGCTGAAGGCTTGAATTATAATGATTGTTTTGGCTATCTAGGATAGAATGATTTCTGGAAATGGCTAAGGAAGTTGCCCATTCTAGAGAAGGATGATAAAATAGAAAACAATGCAACATTCAACTTTATGGTTATTAGAACAGACCTAGATTGTCAATGTATCAGTATTCAGCTATGTGGAACATGTTTAAGGGGAAACTTCAGTCTTGTTAAAATCTCTGTTCTTAATCTCTTTTTATGCTTCTGTAATTTTCTGGTTGCAAGTTTACCTAGTTTTTGGTTTAACAGGCTGCAGATAAAAATCAAAGTACTAAACCAAATAGCATTGTCTGTGCTGATTGTGATGGAAATGGTAAGGAAAATTGTGGCTAATTACTTTGTCTTTGGTCTGGTTTTTTTGTCAAAGATTAGTCTTCTTGTTTCATTAACTAGATATTTTGTTGATTATCATAATGCCTTTATGCAATCTCACTGGCCTGAAATGAAGCAGCTTTGTTTTATTGATATATACTGAAATCAATTAAACTGTTGAATTTAAGACTTTATGCTGTTAATATTATATATGGTATCCTAAACACCAACCTAGAAGGATGCTTTGAACTGCCCATTATTAGAGTGTTTATTAATGATATTCTGTTCTATATATATATTCTAGCTGAAGAATGATCAATGATGTATGATTACTCTATGCGAAGAGTAAGCAGTTATAAGCATACAGCACTTTTTGTTTATATGTGGCCAATGATGCCCACAATCATTCAATGCTATATAAGGATCACTAAATTGGTTAAACATAGGAATGCTTTTGATAGCCTATTTTCGCAATAACTGCAAGTGCACAAATTGATCAAGTAATAAAGTGATAAGTATTCAAGTATCGTCTCCTATAAGATTATAGATTGTAATGTTTGGTGGACTAAGTACCAATGGTGAAAACCTAATCTTTTATATCTAAACAAATGAATACTAGAATGGGTTGCAAAACAAATTAAGGAAGCAATGTCGAAAGGATTATAGGCCTATATTTTTACTCTACCAACTATCACTTGGCAAGTAAAAGAGGTGTGGCCGAATATAACTAAAAGAAATAAAGATTGCTTTTGAAAACAAGGAAGAATAAGTGAAGGCCAAAAGCTGGTAGAACATAAATCAATAATGCATAAACCGAAACTTAAATGAAAGAAGTATGAAACCTAAACTTGAGTAAAAGAGAGGGTGATTGCCGAAACTTTTAAAGCATAAAAGAGTTGTAGACAAAACTAGTAAAAGAGAAAAGAATTGAAAACTAAATCTTGAATAGAAAGAATACTTGTATTAAAGGAAGAATTTAAGAAAATAATTGTATTGAAGAAAAGAATTTTAGAAACTAACTTTGTTATTGGCAAATTTGCAACCTAAGCCAAGAACTAAAACTAAAGAAAAGACTAAGAAAAGAAAAGGGAGAAGAGAGGAGAAGAATGAGATGGAATGGGATGATGAGCAAGTGAAATGGCCTTGCATATTTATAGGCATAGGTTTGGCCATAAGTGGTAAAGATTACGAGAGTCTGACTTCTATCTAAATGCTAAAGGATGAAATTTATCTTGATCTCCAAAGAGCTTTGACCGAATGGGACTCTTAGTTCTTGAAGAGTCATAGCCGAATGGGGGTCTTGGGAAGCAATCTTGGCTGTGTGATCTTGCTTGGAATCCATCTTGATGCAATCTTTTTCATATGTTCGGCTAATGTAGGATTTTCAAGATAAGGTAGTTGAATTTAATTCAAATTCCTTTAATTCAAATAGCAAGAGTCCTTCATTTATCACAATTCTTCAATAGATACACAAAAGAGTCCTCCTTGCATGAAATCATCTTTGGCTGATTAGGGTAGTGTGCATGTGAGCTTGATATTGCTTGAAGTCTTCTTGGAATTTGATTTAGCTGAATGGATATGGGAGATAAGAGTCCTTGTGCTTGCCGAATTCCTCAAATAAGCCTTATCTCCTCTTGCATTTGGATTGGCCGAATAATGTAGGAGTCTTTGGTGGAGTGAAACTCTTCAAGCGTGCATCATCCTTTCTTGGCCACATGAACAAGTTCTAATGCAAGTGGAATTCTTCAAATGAACAAGCAATCCTCTTAGATCTTGCTTTGGCTGAATTTAAAGGTGACATGGGAGTGTCTTTGTGCGTGTGAAATTCCTTCTTGGCCGCATGGATGGGTGGAATTGGTCAAACAAGGTTCAGCCACAATCTCCCTTGCACGGTCAAAGGTCATCTTGCATTCATGGATTGCATGGGTTGCATGTTTTCCTCATCGAACAGCCTTAAACCCTAAAAAGCAAGAAAATAACACTAAGGCACCTAAAATTGACCAAAATTTAAATTTTAGCACCAATTTTATCATGTAAAAACACTGTATTTTTAGGTGCCATCAGCTTCTGTGCTTTGTGCTTCAAAGTGATTGATTCATTACAAGGGGCAACAGAGCTGTATGGGTTTCCTTTTTTATGAAAGTGGATGGAAATTAAAATAAAAAATTATTATCCAAAAAAAAGTTTAACAAAAATTTTCTTTCTTCTTTGAGTGCGGAAGAAGGCTTCTTAGCCAAAGAGTGACCTTCGCACTTGCACTCTTAGCCTGACCCACCTTTAAAAAAAGGAAAAAAGACTCTTTGTATTGGTTAACTTGTATTCCTCCATGTTACAAGTCTATGTTTGTCAGGTATGAATGCTTTGTCTTCTCTATCTTCTTTGAACTTTTTGATCATTCAGTCTTCCAGATAACTTCCAAATGCTCGAGTCTATATTAGGCATTTAAAGATTTTCTTTGTCTTTTGTTATGATACTTGAGCTTGTTATGAAGCATCACTTAAGATTTCATTTTTTCTAATTCTCTTATTCTAACACAACCAACATATAATTATAAATAGTTTCCATATCCAAACTACCAGGTGTCAAACAGTGTTCTCAATGCAAAGGTACTGGAGTTAATACTGTTGATCGCTACTATGGACAATTGAAAGCTGGTGGGCTGTGTTGGCTTTGCAGGTGCTAATCTCCTTTTCCTCCTCTTCCTCGATCCCCCCTTGACCTCCCAAGTTATGATAGCTTGCAATAATATCATTTCTGTTATCGCCAGTTAATGACCACATTCAAAGTTAATTATTCATTGTTCATTCTCTTTCTTTATTCTGATGTCCACATTAGGGGATAAATGAAGGACTGAAAGTTTGATTTTTTTTTTTTTTGTTTTGAATCATTATTGAAAGCAAGATGGAATACTGATGTTGGAATTTTTGTTGGAAAAGAAAATGAAACTTTATCTATGAGCAGGTCAACTGGCCATAATGTCTTAGAGAATTGACTTTACCTTTTCTTTTGGCAAAATACAAAGCAATTGATAATTGATACTATTATTGGGACTTATCTCCCATGCAATCCATCATTTTCAATTGTAGAAATGGACACATTCTTGGTTCCAAAGCCAGTCCAAGCCATGTGTTTATCATATTTCTTCTTTTCTCACATAGGAGTCCTAAGTTTGATGAATTTAGGAACACTGGATTCGAGGATATAAGCATAGGTCATGCACTTATGTTCTAAAGTCAAATTTTCTTTCAACCATGTGTTTTTCCAAGATAGCATCACAATTGTCGGAAGTGGTTTTTTCAGTGCATCAATAGCAGCCTATTCCACAATTCCTTAGATTAAACATGTAGAATTGTTAGCAATCAGCTTTTGATACGATTAATGTATGTTTTGTTGCAGGGGAAAAAGGGAAATTTTATGTGGGAATTGTAATGGAGCTGGCTTTATTGGCGGATTTATGAGCACATTAGATGATTGATGTAAAAGCTCAATTTTGGTGGTCTTCAAGGATATTTACTAGATAAATCTTTTGTAATTTCGTTTTGTATCCTTTGCTTCAGTCCTGAGGTCGTTCTTTTGAGAAATGATTCAACCCGTCACGATGCCTATACTCCGATATTTGCTTTATGGCATGCAGAAGTTTTTAACATTTTCCTAACCAAAATGGAAAACAAACTTTTCTTCTCTGTTACTTGTCGAATCTCCTAACAATCTGTTCTCTTTTAACTCACCAAGGAAAAAAAAGGTCACTTAATAATCAAGGATTCTTATTTCGAACTTATACTACTCATCGTTCGTTTGTTCAGGGATTGAAAACAATCAGTATTCATATGGCGCTAGTCCTTGTACCTTTTACGGGGTTCGTATCAGTAAGACATTTCTATCATCATGAGTAAAAAATTCATCATATTATAGTTCATCACCTAAATATTAATGATAAATTTGAAGATTTTCTGATATGTTGGCAAGTTGGGATATAAATTTTTATCAAATTCATGGAACTTGCTCGAGCTTGGGCTGGCTACTTTGCCTTTGCATATAAATATAGTAGTTTCTTGTATTCGGAGATATGGTGAGATATTCCAAGTCGAAACCTCTCAAATAAGAAAGGTGTAAATTACTAAAAAGCGTTCGGTTTAATGTTTTTCAGGAACGTGGGTAGCAGAGACGAGGCAGTCCAGTGGGTCAACTGTAGTGGTACCATCCACAGTTAAAATTGTGAGGCCTAAACTCAGCTTCAGCTAGGCTCATAGAAACAGGGACCATGTTTTTTCACTTTGATAAATGTAAATAGGCAGCTAAAAAATGGTGTCATAATCCATGAATGGGAAAATCAAATGCAGAATAAGAAATAGTTTCAGAAAGAAGAGGAAAGAACAAGAAATAGCCAAAAATAGTAATAAGCAGTAATGCGCGCCAGGTAGGGGTCGAACCTACGACTTTCTGCTTAGGAAACAGACGCTCTATCCACTGAGCTACAGGCGCAGTTAGTCAGGAGTCTTAAATCTCTTATACCTCATCTATGAACTATCGTAAAACCATCGAATGCAATAACTCATCATCACCATAGCTATCAATTACTGTAGTGGTATTGACTTTGAATCCATATGAACCACCTGAGATTTGAGAACACAACCATAATATTCTACTACTTCCGAGGGTTATGTCAGAGCATAAACCACTAAACAAGACAAGTTACACTTAAACTATTAAACTACTATGAATTCAAGTTTTATGCTTAATTATAATTTAGTAAAGTTATATACCATAATTAAAAATAAACTTATCCCAACGTATGATGAAACTAATAAAATCAGGTCAACTATATCAAACCCTTCCATCAGATGATTTTAGCCAACTTTCATACTTCTAAATTTATTCAAATTGTGATATGAAAGTGAAAGTAATTTCGTTTTTGAAGGAAATAGTTAAAAAAAAGGGTTTAATCCAGAGTAACAGACATATTTTGGCTTGTGCCATTACTTACACAAGACCAAAACAACAAAGCAGTTATACACACTATGACAATATTAGTCGAAGGATCTCCCCAGAATACTTGAACGATTTCTCAGTCTCTTCCAAACAATGGTTCTTCTCATCTCTAGTCCAGCTCTGAAATGCCAGAGATAAATGTAGATGTGTTAGTCATAAAATTTGCTACTGTCTTAACTTCTCATGAGCAGGGTCGGGAAAAAGAAACACAATGGAGTTTATAAGAGAATTCTTCAATAACAGAAAGAAAATTACCTCAGCAACTTTATTCAGCTTATCCCTGACATTTTGTAGCAGTTGGGAAAGGTCACCATCCCATTTATAAAATTCCAACTCCTTGTTGTTAAGTATTTTCTCAGCTACCTTATATAAAGAGGGGTTAAAAAGGAGCTTGAGTATACAAGTGAAGTGCCTGTATTTAACATGTTACAAGATAAGCATGCCTATGGGGTATCCACTAGATAGAAACTTGTCAGACATATGAGCTGGCCCAGCTTGGGGAAATAAAAGAGTTAAGGAGACAAAGAGAGACAGACGGAGAGCAAAATGCTAAGTGCTTACTTCTAAACAGTGTAGATCAGTACAGAGTAATATACTTTTCAACATACATTTGAATCTAATATTTTGTTTACCTTCTTCCCGATCATCCGACCACCAGCAGAGTGGGCAAAATAAATGTTGTAGAAATGGCATATGAATGCTTGAGGATCCTTCTCGGATAATTCTTTAAGATACACAGCATAGGTAACACCAGGGGAAGATGGTTCTGGAATGGCATAACCTTGCTCTTTGAACCACTGTAAATCCTTCGCCAATTTTTCAGACCTTTCCAATCCAGTGTTCCTGAATTCAGCATCTGCAGCAGACCCAAGCATATCACTTTAGTTTTCAAGCAGTATCATAAAACAATAAAATACCACACTCAAGAAACATATACAAACACATACATAACATGATAAATGATCTGAAACTTCGGATTTAACCCAAAGTTAGCACCACTTGTGCTTTTAAAGGCATTCATTTCAAGGATTAAACAGCTACAATTCAATCATCTAGGTTACATGGTGAACTGTTTTAGTGGTTCTGTGGAAGGCCATCAAATCCACCTTCATCAAACCATTGGACCAAACAACAGAAGAGGGAAAAATGAAAAAGAATAAAAATTCTTGGTACATGATTGGTGCATAACTCAAAAACACAACCACTACTCTGACAGGGTTCAATCTGGATTCTTGATTTGCCATTCTCCATACAGAGGAGGAGATAACTAATTACGTGAAAAAGACCAATTCAACCTGCATTCTCGTAGATTTTTACCCCAAGTTCACTCCCTTAAGCCATATAATAACACCTAACTACCATCATGTACAAAACTTCAAGCTTCATTCTCGTCTTATTTTTCCTTACTAATCCCTTGTTTTCACACGTGATCCAATATTACGATTCTACAATCAAACATGATACCACAAAACATAACATTAGTAAAACTCCATAACATTAAATCATCCTTGACATATAAAGTCTTGATGTTGAGCCCCATCTTAAATCTTATAAGCAACCCTTCACCTAAACAACAATAAGTAGTACTATTTGAACAGTTTGTTGACAACAGAAAAAAATTAACATCTATGGTGAAGCAAAATCCGAAAACATATACCAAAAAGAGAAACCTTAACCTAACCCAGAAAAAGAAGTTATTCAAATCACAAAAACAAACCATTCAAAAAAATAGGACCAACAAAAGCAAATAAACATAATAAAAATAGCTAAAACAGAAGAAGGGTACCAAAAAAAAGAAACTTACAGCTAGGAAAAGCAGCCTTATCAATAATCCCTTCAAGCGTATCATAAACCAACTTGCTATCCACAAGGAACTTCAAGTACCCATCAACCCTGGGCTCCCATTTCCCCACGGCCCGTTCTTCCGGCTCTTTCACTTCCTTTTCTCCTTCCTTTGCCTGCTCTCTTGTATGCAATTTCATAGCCACGAACCTCATCTCCTCCACAAACCCTTTAGCCTCTCCAGGGTACCTCTTCCTGGGCTTCTCCGCCGTCGTGGCCGATACGACAACGTTCCTACTGGCCATCCCGGGAAGTTTGAAAGACTGAGCTTTAGAATAGGGGAGATCCTTGGGGATAAAACTGGAACAGAAATTGGGAGATTGAGGCGTTGTAAGGTTCGGGTTTTTAAGAAGGGAGTGGGATTGGGAAATTGGGGTCAGAGACGCCATTGAAAAGGCGATTTCTTGCTTAGTTTTATACGGAATTGGTTTGGTTGTTGTTGTGAAGAAGAAGAAAGCGAGTGAGCTTTCAACTTTCAATAGAAAAAAAAAAAATTAAAAAAGCCTCAACTCGTGGTTCAAGTACTCTTGAAGCTAAAGCGATAGAAACAGATTGTTTATGAATATAGAGAGTAAAGAATATTAAAGGAGAAGAAAAACCCAGGGTTGCTTAGAAAATGGTGAGGTAATGGACAAGGGTATAGGTTGGTTCTGGTTTGCGTCTACTATCATCTGCGAGAAATCTGCCATTGCTGTGTTATTGTACCTTGCTTTTATTATTTTACTCTTAAAGTAATATGTACTAGAGAGATAAAGAAATACTGAAGCAAAGGAATGGCCAAAATTAGAATTTGCTTCTTTTTATTTTCTTTATTTTAAAATATTATCATTTTTAATTAAAAAATGCTGCCATTTATAGAATAACGTAGTGATTGTTTTATTTTTATCATAATTAATTAACAATTTTTTTATAAAAGATAAATATGAGTAGATGTTATAAGTTAATTATTTTATTTAAATAATAAAAGGTTTGATAAGAAATGTATAGTTGAAAAAATAATATAAAATTGAAATAAATCTTTAAAAACCTAATTGTTATTTTAAATTATTCATAAATTTTGATAAGATAAATATATAACCGATAGAGTAAAAAAAATCTCGCAACAATTTTTGAGGGATTTTTTAAAAATAAAATTATTGAAGGATTTATATAGAAAAAAATTAACAATATTTTTATTGCCAAAAAAGACCCCAGTAGATTTGAAAAAAAAAAAAAAAGCTACCTGTTATTGTGTAGCGTGTTAAAACTCCTATATTTTTGTTTACTTTTGCGTGTAAATTAATATAATATTTTAACAATAGTTTATGAATTAGGTTTTTTTTATTAAATTTAATATAATATTTTAGAGTTGATTAATTAAATGAATAATTCATAAATAGTTGTAAAATTGAGGATCAACTTTCCCACGCTAACAAGTAACAAATAACATAAAAGAAAATATCCATCATAAGTAGACTTGGCTCAAACGACGTCGGGTCGAAAGCCGTGGATGATCCAATGGATCAAGACGGCGGTGCACAACCCTTTATTTTAGTGGCTGGGCAAAACAAGTAAAAGTAATTGTCTTTAGCTGGTTTTATTTGTGGTCGTCGTTAATTGTGTGCCGTGGAGAATTCGCATAGAGTAGTGTAAGCGTGGAACTATTGTTTTGGGGGCTTCTTTTTGGCTTCTCCCTCCAAATTATTTACCTGTCATTGACAAAAACATAGAAAATTACATCAAAATTCAACGATTGGTGAGTAAATCATTAGGGTACTTATCAACATAAATTAAAATTTAATTGATATATTATTTTAAAATTTTTATTTAATTTCACTGTTAATGCATAAAAAAACTAATTATATATTATCAATACAATCAAATATGATACATTAATTATAAAATTTTTCAATAAGTATCATCAATACTAGTAAATAGTTAATTGCTTCTCAAGCATTTAAGTTTGATTAATTCGCTTTTTAATAATTATTAATATTTGTTATCATATGTGTTTCATGTGAAATTTTTTTATTTATTTTTAAATAATATAGTTGCATATTGTATAAATGATTGAAACTAATAAGATGCATATTAATCAAATTTGTAATATAAAGTTTATTTCATATGTAAAATATATTAACTTAACATAGAACTTGTGGATTTTATGGTAATGTAAAATTAAAACTAAAAAAAATAAAACAATATGATGTAAAATAGGTCAAATTAGAAAGAGTATTTGGCTCATCCTCTTTTCCCCCAATAAAAATAATTAGGTATTAGCTTTGTAAAAATAATTGGGTTTACCATAGTCATATTCTAAATTTTAAAATGCATAATAATCATGAAGTTAGTAATGTTCGAATATTTCGTTTGTAAAATTTAAATTTAATTTTTTATTAATAATTTTTTAAAAAAGTAATTTATAAATTTAATTTAATATAATTTTTTTTTTAAACTTACTATATATTCTAATTTTTAAAACGAAAAAACTTCTCATTCCCTAAATTTCTATGTAAACTATAAAATAATTATAATCCTGCTTTTAACCAAATTGAAGTGCACAAAAGGGGATGACCTTTTACGGAATAAAAATTCATGATAATGGACTTTGCTTTTGTACTTTTATTTACATTAAACTAATCAGAATTAAAAGTTAAAACCTTAGATGTAATAATAAATTATTGGATAAAAAAGTGTAAGAATTACACTATAATATAAGTGAATCTCTCTTAAAAAAAATTGAATCTCTTTTCTCCATAAGTTTGCTGCCTTTTACCCCACTATTTCTTTTCTGATTATGATTATATTTATTTGATTATTTCCAATATCATTTGAAGCTTTTGAGGGGTTGAGTGGGTGAATTGGTATGTATCATTTTTAATTAAATAAATTATAATACACACCTGTTGTTTAATAAACAAGTTTTGGCCGAGTGGTTAAGGCGTGTGCCTGCTAACTACATGGGTTCATCCCGCGAGAGTTCGAATCTCTCAGGTGACGATTTACCTTTCAAGGTGGCAATTATATTCAGAAACCATTTTCCTCAATCAGATTTCAAACTGTAAAATACAACTTTCTACAAATTTTTCCCTTATTTTTAACGTAGATCTGATTTACTCTTCCCAATTTACTGATTCACGTTAAAATATTCTGTTACTGCTAAGCAATCTGTCTGCAATCAGTTAATCTTTGAACACATCTTCCTAATCTCTCCTTCTGAACCAGTTTTCACCTCAATGCTACTCATCTTGATCATTGCTTTTCGAAGCTCAAAATCAAACCTTAACCCCAACAATCCTCTTATGTTCCCAGCATAGTTTTCCACTATGCTGCGTGTAGCGTCATCTCCCCAAAGCCTCTGGTCTGATTCCAACACTCCTTTGCCATCACACACATTTTTGAAGCAGCTCACATCAAATTTAGTCTCGCTATCTATGTCCAGTGCAACCATTTTCGAGCCGTCACCATTTTTTGGACAAAGAGATTGAAGTTGTGCTAAGAAAGATTGGTTAATGGTCGGGTCTGCACCTCCCGTTGTTGTGAAGTTGTATAGGCGGTATCGGAAGAACAAGCAATCCGTTTGGCCAATGGTGTGTGCTCCTGCCATAGAAACATGCGTACCAAATAATTTGTTACTTAAGTCATCGTCTGGTGGCAAGAAACTTAAAGGAAGACAGGGTATATTATATTATTATATACCGACTAAAGTTACAAGATCATGATCACTAAGGCCTTTAGCGGCAAATTTTTGCCTTCTAGCAGCGATGGACTCAAGTGGAGAAGGCAAACTTGAGGTTTGAGATGATGAAGACACCCTGCCATCTCTTCTCCCGGTTGGTAAAGTCCAACTTGGACCATCACTCTGACATATGAAGACAAATGAAACCCCTTAATCGTATTTTGAACTAAAATCATGTCTGTGTATGTGTGTGTGCGTCCACGTGCATATATGTTACAAGAAGAAAAAGAATGCTACCAAGTCAACAGCGTCATAAGCTGCCAACGCTATTACATCAGCACATGAGACTATTCCAGGGCATAGCGCTTCTAGCTGTGCTTTTGCATCACCAATTACTTCAAATCCTCCTAGCCCAAGGTTTGGCAACGCACTTCTCTCTGCGAAGAGCCAGAGATTAACACTGAACCGTCACAGCCCTGCATTTACAATATTTCAAGCATTTCAGTTCCTATATAAGAATTCATCTCGAAATTGTTTATCTATGTAACATACACGACAATAGAAAATAAGGAAGAAAAAGGCAACCTGAACAAAGCAATCATGGAAATGAAGCCTGAGCAAGCCAGCAGCAATGATAGGATCTTTGTCGAAGTGTGATTGAACTGTAGACCTTACTACGGCCTCAGCCTTTGGACAAGAAGAAGTATAAAATCCATTTTGCAAACCTGATCCCTGGCCTTGAACTAACAAAGCCATCATTAAGTTCACTATAGAAGCTAACCAAACAACTCACATTTTAACAATTGGTAAACAAAACCAAATTATAATCAGCCAACCAGATTCTGCATTTTACTACCAAGGCACCAGCATTTATAAATGGATTTGCTTAAGTTGCTTTATTGGCCTGTCTTTTCGTTGAATTTTGAACTGCTCTCAACTTTCATTTTAGTGGAATGCGTGGGAGCATTTGTAATATATAGTGCTTTTCTCTTTTGAAGATTTGTCTATCTATAGAAGAGTAGTTAGGTTGTGGTAGGTGAAATCACAGTGCACATTATGCTTAAATCAATGGCAATTGATAACGTAAGACGCCTCTCTCATCGTCTGATTCTTTCCCCTTTATTCCTCAACGCGTTTTCCTTCTTTTTCATGTTGAATTAACCATATGTTTCTTTGATCATTTCCTTTTTTTGAAATGTTTTTCTTCACATTCACATTGATAAAGATTCAGCACTTTGGATTTGAGGGTTATGCATAATTGTCTTGGCAAGAGTAAGCTTGAGTAATTACTGTAACATGCAAATTATAACTGCTACAAAAGTTGGATGCCTGGTGTTTTGGTAGCAGGCTTGATTCTTTTCAACGTTTTGTCAATGAAAAAGAAGTAAAAAAGATTGATACATTGCAGCTAACTCTTCCTAAACAAAACCAAAAACGGTTAAAGTACTGGACGGTTTAGATACAGAAAGTGACTCAAAGGAGCCACAATTGTGGCAAAGGACGGCGAAGATCAGAAAAGAAAACTCAATGTCAGAATGACAAGTGGTTCGTTGAAATAACAGTAGTTTCACACACATGTTTTGGTAGGATGAGATCCATTCCCTTCCTTTTAAGCCTTTTTGTCTCATTGAGAATGTGGCGGTGAGAAAAATATACTATCTGAAACATTCATTTTTGTGACAGGCTTTAAGATGATGACTTGTGCTTCTTCCAATTAGTTTTTGGTGAATAATCAAGAGAGTGGATGGACCCGGATAGAGTACTGACCAATGATGGACCAACATCATCAATAGCAGCAATGAACATGTCGTTTCATTGTTAGTTCCCATTTTCATTTTACATTCATGCAAGTTTTTCTAAAATTTTATTATTGATATATATATATATATATATATGTCATGCCCCGAACCGAGACATAACATGACCATATTACTTTGAAGTAAAACTTCAAAGTAATACGAAGCCTAATCTATAACCATTGAACAACTCTCAAATATAAAAGGTTCTCATTAAGTAACATAGTTAGATAACAAGTCTCCAAAGGTTCAAAGTCAAGTATTACAACTAAAATAAACAAT